CCCTTCATCAGAAAAAAGCTTTTTCTGATGAAGGGTCTAGGCCCGAAACGTCAGCCTTTCTGCTCCTATGATGCTGCTCGGCCTGTTGTGTTCATCCAGCCCTGCACCTTGTTATATGGGATACTTGCCTGTGTTAGCAGAGGCACAGAATTAAAGTTATGCTGGAATTGTATAAAAAGTTGGTTCAACCATAGTGAGTGTATTGTGTGCAGTTCCAGAGCCCACATTGTAGGAGGCATGTAATTGCTCTGAAGAGGGTGCAGAGGACATTTTATCAGGATGTTGCCTGGGCTGGAGAGTTTTAGTTATGTAGAGAGATTGGATAGACTAAGTTGTTTACCTTGGAGCAGAGAAGGCTGAGGCAGGGCACGATTAAGATGTATAAAATTATGAGCGGCATTCCCAAGTGGACAGGAAGGATCTTTTCCCCTTGGTGGAAAGATCAATGATCAGGAGTCACAGAATTAAGTTAAGGGTCAGAGGTTTTAGTGGAGATGTAAGAAAATTTCTTTTTCACCCAGAGGTTGGGGAATCTGAAACTCAAAATGTGGTAGAGGCAGAAACCAGCATAACATTTAAGAGGCATTTAGATGTACACTTGTGATGCCAAGACATACAAAACTATTGGCTAAGTGGTAGAAAATTGGATTAGAATACGTAGGTGGTTGTTTTTGATTGGTGCATACACAATGGGCTGAATGTGCTCCAGACGTTTTTAACCATGGCTCTAAAATACAGGTATATACGTATATACACACATTAATTTATATGTATTTATTATTGTCCTTTTATACATATACAATACACACAAAATTAGAATGTCAAAAATTATCTTATAAAATGAAACCATTTATATAAATTCACCATTCCATTTACCCGAGCTTGTGATCCAGCTGAAACAGGCTTTTCCACAGAAGGAGGCATAGATGTATAGATGGGATTCTCAAAATTGCTTCCGTTTGTTTCACCACCAACTGCCATCGTATCCTAAATGGAAAATGTCAAATGTATTATCTTCAGATTAGAAAATTTTGAACCTGATTGTATGATTTCTCTGGGCAGTCTCTGTTTAATAGCTTGAACCAAAAGTTGATATCTAACCAATCTAATAAACATTATGTTAGTCAAATACTGGGCAGAGTAAAATACAAAGTGAAAAATGGAAGTTATCCTATATTCTAATAAGCTTTGTTTGGACTGTACCTGGAATACTACCTTTAGGTCCAGAGTAATAAGAATATAGTAGCCTTAGAGAGACACTACAGACTGACAAGAGGGCTACTGGTCTTAAAGCATTACTTTCTGAATAAAAGGTTATTTCGACTAACCCTAACCCTATTGAGCTTTGAATCCCTTCAAGACTGAAGGGTGATCTATTTGAGATATTTAGAATTAATGAAGGAGTTGATCAGATTAATAGAAATGTTCTTCTGGTGAGGAAGCCTAGAATAAAGATTGAAGAAAATAAAATATTTGTCTTATTTGTTGATTTCATAAGCATATATAATTAAGTTCATTTGGAGTGATGTCAGAAGAAACGTCTCACAAAATGGAGTGGAAATCTTGAACACTCTCCTTCAAAAAGCTGTTGAGGTTAGTTTTGAAAATGTTAATTCATCTAAGATTCATAGATTTTTGTCAGGTAAGGATTTTAAGGAATATATAACCATTGTGGGTTAGTTGAATTATACAGAGATATCCAGATCAGTCATGATCTAACTGAATGATGAAACAGACTCCAGGGACTGGATGGCATGCTCCCCTTCCTATATTCTATTTCACTTCCCCAAAATATATTATATATATGTTATATAGTTCAAATCAACTAATCTTTTATTACAAATAAAGTATTATAAGAAACGTTTATAAAATAATCTTCTTAGACATATATTTGTTAGAAGAACTTGAGCAATTCTGAAATACAATAACATATGATAAAGTTACAGGACTATTATCACCATCCAAACTGAAGTTAACTTAATAAACAAATTACTGTAAATATATTTAATTACAATATGGTACATCTATATATTTCAGTAACCCCTTTTGCAGTTACCGCTGATTGCTGGACTTCAGGAGCATCACTGGAAACATTTCCCTTCATTCCAAACATGGGATTTTCGAATGTGACTGGTTGCTTTCCTGCCTCCATTACAAAGTTTTCATTCTGTTACAGAAACAGAGTTGATTCAGATTTAGTAAAAGTACTAAGCACATCTGTGAAGCACTTGGCACTGCATAAACTTTTACAATGACAAGCCTTAAAAAGAAATTTGATTATATCTTACCAGCTGCATTGCTCCATCAATAGCAGAATCTATGTCTATGGCAGAGGCTCCACTGTCTATTCCAGTATCCAGTCCAGATCTAAATGTCACTCCATTATCTTTAGGCTTCATAAGACGACTTAAACTGAAGAAAAACAAAAAAAAAGTTATTATCTTATAGTTTCATTTTATGGAAGTGAATATATACCCTAGGTAATGGTAAGTTTGTACTGCTCCTTTGATATTTGAGCAAATAAACTGTAAGTATATATGTGTCACTACTCTACAATAATAGTTTCTTCCTGACAGTCACAGGATACAGGGTGGATAATTTAGGACTGTTTTTAAATTTAATCACTCATGGGACATGACTGGACAGCATTATTTCCCATTCCGACTTGCCATTGAGAAGGTGGTGGTGAGCTGTCTTTTTAAACCGCTGCAGTCCACATGCTTTCAGTTGAGCCATATGCCCTTGGGAAGGGAATTCCAGGATTTTGACCCAGCGATAGTGTTTATGTAGTTAGTCCAGTTGAGTTTCTAGTCAAGGGTAACTCCAAGGATTCTTGAGAATGGGGGAATTCAGTGATGGTAACACCATTGAATATAAAGGGGCAATAGTCAGATTCCCTCTTATTGCAGATACAAATGCCAGGCAATGACTATGGTGCAAGTATTACTTACCACATTGTCCAGATCCTGTTGCATGTGAACATGGACTGCTTCAGTATCTGAGAAGTCCTGAATAGTGCTGAACATTGTGCAATCATCAGGAAACCTCATACTTATGACCTTATGATGGAGGTAAGCTCATTTATGAAGCAACCGAAGATGGATGGGCCTAGGACACTACCCTGAGGAGTTCCTGCACAGATGTCCTGGAGCTGAGATGACTGACCTCCAACAACCACAACCATCTTACTATGTGCCAGGTATGACTTCAACCAGCAGAGAGTTTGTCCCCTGATACCCATTGATTCCAGTTTTACTCGGACTCCTTGATGCCACACTTGATCAAATGTGGCTTTGATGTCAAGGGCTCTCACTCTCACCTCAGGAATTCAGCTCTTTTATTCATGCTTTAACTAAGGTTGTAATGAGGTCAGGAGCTGAATGACCCTAGCAGAACCCAAACTGGGCAACACTGAGCAGATTATAGCTGATCAGGTGCTGCTTGATAGCACTGTTGATGACACCTTCCATCACTTTACTGATGATAGAGATTGATGGGACGGTAATCGGTTGGGTTCAATTTATTCTGCCTTTTGTGTACCAGACATACCTGGTCAATTTTCCACATTGTCAGGCGGATGCCAGTGTTGTAACTGTACTGGAAAAGCTTATCTAGAAGAGTGGCAAGTTCTGGAGCACAAGTCTTCAGTAGTTTTTGCAGCATCCGGTGCCTCCAACCATTTCTTTATATCACATGGAGTGAATCAAATTAGCTGAAGACTGGTATTTGTGATGCTGGGGACCACTGGAAGAGGCTGCGATGGATCATCTACTTGACACTACTGGCTCAAGACTGCTGCAAATACTCTAGTCTTATATTTTGCATTGATGTGTTTGTCTCTTCCATCACTGAGGATGGGAATATTTGTAGAGCCTCTTTCTGCGGTGAGTTGTGTAATTGTCTACCACCATTCACTCAATGTGGCAGGACTGCAGAGTTTAGATCTGATTCCTTGGCTGCAGGATCTTTTAGCTCTGTCTATCACTTGCTGCTTATGCTATCTGGCATGCAAATAATCCTGTCTGGTAGCTTCACTTGGATGATGCCTCATTTTCAGGTATGCCTGGTGCTGCTCCTGGCATGCCCTCCTGCACTCTCCATTGAACAAGGGTAGATTTCCTGGGCTTAATGATAATGGTTGAGTGGACTCTGCAGCAGTCACGTCTAGCAGATATGTTCATCAGGCCTGAAGCTGCTCATGAAGTAATAGTGCTGGGAAGCCTCTCTCCACAGCTGTTGGCAGACCTGCTGAGCTTCTCCAGCATTCTCTGTGTTTATTTCATATTTCGAGCATCAATAGAATGTTTTTGTTATTCTTTAGGAGTCAAATACATTGCTGTGGATCTAGAGTCATAAGTAGGCCAGACTGAATAAAGATGGTAGATTTGCTTCCCTGAAGGATATTAGTGAACCTGATGGCTTTTATAGAGTCATGCAGTTACACAGCAAAGAAACAGATCCCTTGGTCTAACTTGTCTAAGCTGACCAGGTATCCTAAACTGAGCTGGTCCAATTTGCCAGTATTTGGCCCGTATCCCTCTAAACCATCCTATTCATGTACCCATTCAGATACCTTTTAAATGTTTTAATTGCACCAGCCTCCACCATCTTCTCTGGCAGCTTGTTCCATACACGTACCATCCTCTGTTTGAAAAAAATTGATCCTCATGTTGCTTTTACATCTTTCCCCTCTCACAGTAACCCCACACCCTCCACAGCACCACTCCCCTACCATGGGCAAAAGTCCTTGGCTATTCACCCTGTCCATGCCCATCATGATTTTATAAACCTCTATAAGGTCACCCCTCAGCCTCTAATGCTCTAGGGAAAAAAATGATCCAGCCTATTTAGCCTTTTTCTATAGCTCAAACCCTCTAATCCTGGCAACATCCTTGTCTGAACCCTTTCAAGTTTAACATCTTTCCTATAGCAGGGAGACCAGAACTGAATGCAGTATTCTGAAAGTGGCTTCACCAATGTCCTGTACAGCTACAACATGATGTCCTAATTCTTATACTCAATGCACTGACCAATTTTATGACATCATTACTCAAAGTAGCCTTTTAAATCAAGATTTAGATGTTTTGAGTTCTCCAGCTGTTATGATGTCATTTGAATTCATGTCTACAGAGTATTAATATGAGCTTTTGAATCAGTAACATGAACACTGTACTATCATTCCTATGATTCAGCCCATCACTTTTAAGAAATGTGTGAATGTATCTTTGTTTTTGGATTGAAACCTAGCATTTCTGTGTAAAGGCATGAAAAAAAAAGCATGTATTTTTAACAAGTATATTTGTAATCTTAACAGTTGAAGCACTTTTTAAAGGCTAATAATGAAATGTTATATATCCAGTGAAACAAGCAGTTTGCTATTCAATGGCATCGTACACTACTTGTATGTCATTGATATCCCCATATTCTTGACATTAGTAAATCCTGGTGTCAGTAAATTCACAAAGAACCATATAAGAGTTGTTACCTTGTAAACTTAGGAAAAGATGGCAGGATTGAGCCTGTCCGTCTGTAATTCAGAAATGCACCACCAGCTAGTACTCCCAGAATTAGGACGATAATAACGGTCAGCAAGACTGCAGTTGCTGCAATGCAAAAAAAGCATATCAAAATTCCAGGATCCGTCATATTAAATGACTATCAAATACAATTATGGGATAACCTCTTAAACATTAGACTTTGCCATTCTCTTTGGACAAAACAGATATATAAAAACTTACCTAATAATAATTTAAGAAAGCAACTTGCTTTGTTATTTTGCATGCTAATAATATTTTTATGAATTATTTTATTTCTACACTGTGTCCATTTTAGTTCGTAGATAATTTTTTCATCTATATTCATAGATAAGCAAGTATTTATCACATTAATTTCATAACTGTCTAAATTATTGCATAATGAATGTTGGGAGATCCAAAGGTTTAAACAGTAAAAACACTTGTAGGAGACCTGATTGTTCCTGAGAATTAAATTATTGAAATTGATGTTACTTCAAGGGAAGGATTTTATACAAACTGTGAGCTTGTAACTGCTCTGGGATCTATACTTTGCGTTAAATATATCAACAAATAATTCTGACAAATCCCAGTGATTCTCTTTATAGTATTCATTATTGTATTGTTAATTTTACATTTTTTGCAAAAATTATTTTGCATTTCATAAAAAATTAAAGAGCAAAAATCTTCTTTCCTCATTCAGATATGTCCCTTCTGTGGCCAGTTGAAGCTCACACAAATCATAAGATTATAGAATCCCTGCAATGTGGAAACAGGCCCTTCTGCCCAACAAGTCCACACTGACCCTCATAGCATCCCACCCAGACCCATCCCCCTATAACCCACCTAATCCACTCATCCCTGAACGCTACAGGCAATTTAGCATGGCCAATCCACCTAACCTGCACATCTTTGGACTGTGGGAGGAAACTGGAGCACCCGGAGGAAACCCACGCAGACACGGGAGAATGTGCAAACTCCACACAGACAGTCGCCCGAGGGTGGAATCAAACCCAGGTCCCTGGCACTGTGAGGCGGCAGTGCTAACCACTGAGCCACCGTGCCGCCCTACAGTAATATTGCTGGAAGTATAAAGTAATTATAAACTTTGGTGGCCATAAGAATGACAAGCCAGAGGAGTTACATTGTGCCACTGAATATTATGATTATTTTTTGAACTTTTTGTAAGTACCTGTTGAATGGGGTGGTGCTTGGGATCTTCCAAACTGACAGTACCTTCCTGTATATCCATAAGGACATCTGCAAGAAGCATAAAATACACCACATCAAATTTTTATTTTCTGCCAGTAGGAATTTTTTTATCAGTCTAATTCTGGTCAGTTAGACAATTAGCTCTTGATAGATTGTAGCTTTAGCATTCGTTGCATATGAAATCATGCTCCCATTTTTAGATCTTGTTTTAATTCCAGGATTTTTCAATTGACTCATCTACATTGGAATAAGGTCTTTCTGGCCAGTGGAAAATCTGGGCCACTGTTTATTAATCATAGTAATTTCTCACCGCAGTTCTCATTAATAACTTACTTAGAGCACAAATGATCTTAAACAACAGGGAAATGATTATTGCATTGTTAATTAAGAGTGGATACTTAGTTCACTAACTGCAGTAAAAGTATAAATGTTTTGCATTTCACCAAAAATCAAAGAAAAGAGCAAAAATCTTTCCTCATTCAGGTGCGTCCCTTTTGTGGCCAGCTGAAACTCACAAATCATACGTAATATTGCAGGAAGTGATTACAAACTTCGGTGGCCATAAGAAGGAGAAGCCAGAGGAGTTACCTTGTGCCACTGAATATTATAATATTTTTTGATTAATGGTATATGCAATAAATGATTAATGGAAAAAATAATATGCAATAAATAATTAATGGAAAAAAATTGGAAAATATGTAGATAATGATAAGTAGACTTGAAAATAGAAGATTGAGGAGTCAGCTTCCAAAAAGAATATACTTGGAGTCATAGAGATGCAAAGCACAGAAACAGACCCTTCGGTCCAAAGCATCCATGCCAACCAGATATTTGAAATTAATTTACACCTATTTGCCAGCATTTAGCCCTTCTCTCTAAACCCTTCTTATTCATGTACCTATCCAGGTGCCTTTTAAATGTTGTAATTGTACCAGACACCACCACTTCCTATGGCAACTCATTCCATACACACACCATCCTCTGCGTGAAGAAGTTGCCCCTTAGGTCCCATTTAATTCTTTCTCCTCTCACCTTAAACCTATGTCCTGTCGTTTTGGACTCCCCTGTCCTGGGGAAAAGACTTTGGCTATTCACCCTATCCATGCCCCTCATGAATTTATATAACCCTATAATGTCACCCCTTAGCCTCCAATGCTCCAGAGAATGCAACCAAGCCTATTCAGCTTCTCCCAGCCCAAACCCTCCAACCCTGGCAACATCCTTGTAAATCTTTTCTGCACCCTTTCAAGTTTCACAAGTCCTTTCTTAAGCAGGGAGACCAGAAGTGAATGCATTTTTTTGAATCCACTTGAGAAATAAATTGTATTCAAGCATCACTTATCACAACCTCAGGACATTTTCTATCACAGCACTGCAGTATTTTTCAAGCATAGTCACTGTTGTAATTAAGGGAACTACAGGAGAAAAATTACACAGAGCAATTTCCCACAGACAGGAATGAGAGAAATGATCAGCTGTTTCAGTGATACCAATTGAGGGATATATATTGGCTGGAAAGCAGAACTACCTAATCTTTCTTTAAATAGCTCTACGGGATCTTTCACAAGAGAAGTTGAGGCCAAGATTCGACATCTCATCTAATAGATAGCTTTGCTGTCAAAACAGCAAAGTGTCAGCCTGAATTATGCACTCAGGTCTTTGGCCTGGTATTTGAATCCAGGACTTTCTGACTCCGTCAAAAGATTACTATCACCGAGATAATCAGGAAATGAACAGGATTTCAATCTATTTATATTTAGTTTATTCTGAGAACAGTTTACTCCAACTGATAATACATTTTAAAAAGTATATTTTGTACTTTAACAAAAATGGATTTTGGTCATGAAAAATATTAACACAAACTCTCTTTGTAAAGCAGCCACACAAAGAGAAAATCAGTTGTGTGTTCAATTCAGCCCATGTTTCCATCTCCTAGTTAGTATTCAGTGATCTTTGCTGACATGTGTTTAGATGTTGAATAAAACCCACTTTGGCCATAATTGTATTGACAGTCTTCGGAATTTTTTTTTAAATTCTCAGCCCAAAGTTAGATTCACAGTGTCATGACTTCCAACACAGGTAGGGCAAGGAGGTAGATCCTGAATCCATCCCAACCAGAAAAAAAGATTGAACCTCATGTTACTGGCATGAATCTGATCCACAATTCCTGCCCTATCAACTGTGCCAACTATTCCACCAAAGAATCCAAATTGCCATGATAGCATTTAGTTTAACATGCATGTTTAGTTCAAAGCTACAAACGATGATGGTAGAGGCTTTGACTATCTTTACATAGAGTAATAGAGTCAAAGGCTAATACAGCATGGAAACCGGCCCTTCAGCCGAAACTGGTCCATGCTGACCATGGTGCCCACTCAGCTAGTTTCAGTTGCTCACATTTGGTCCATATCCTTCTAAACCTGTGGACCTGTCCTACCTTTTTCCATAACTATGTTAAAACTAAGAGAGTTATGGTCACTGGATCCAAAGTGCTCTCCCACTGACACTTCAGTCACTTGCCCGACCTCGTTTCCTAAGAGGAGGTCCAGTGTTGCACCCTCCCAAGTAGGGGCATCTACATATTGATCTAGGAAACTTCCTTGGACACTGACAAATTCCACCCCATCCGGGCCTTTTACATTCTGGGTGGCCCAGTCAATACAGGGGAAATTAAAATCTCCAACAATACTACTCTAATATTCCTACAGGTATCTGCAATCGCTTTACATATTTGCTCCTCTAGTACCCACTGGCTATTTGGGCATCTATAATACAATCCCAACAGAGTGACCATCCCCTTCTTGTTTCATATTTCTGACCAAGAATCTCTCTGGCTTGTGAGCAGATGTTTTTGATAGCTGAGACTGGACACCATACTAGTGTAAACTGATGAACATCTGTTTACTATTTACACCATGTCTAAAGGCATGGTTGAGCAGGACTTCACTAAAACCTTCTTCACTTCGGTCTCTGTTCCACTTGATTGCATTATCAGTGATGTCCAACTTTGCTGTTAATATATATATATATTAATATTGGGTAATTTCCTTTGAAGGAGACCTAGGATCACTGTTTTCCTCTAAAAGGGCTTGTGAACTACCTAACAGGCTGATCAGGCTGTTTTCCTGGTCATCAGGGTAATTGGTTCAGTCCTGTAGAGGCCTTCTGCTGGTGGATACCAGTACGGGTCTGATTCTCCTGAGAACTCCCGATCAATATGCACGAGGTGAGATCATGGTTGAATTAATTGGCTCAAAACCTGGCCTTTCCAATTCTGTCCTGATCCCACGCTGACTCCCCTGCTGGAGTGATGGTGAGTTCTATACTTTGTGTCAATGCTCCTTGTGTCACTGGTAAATTATCAGAGAAGATTCTCTGGGACAGGATTTATTCACATTTGGAAAAGAATGGACTTATTAGGGAGGGTCAGCATGGCTTTATGTAGGGGAGGTCTCGTTTCATAAATTTGATTGAGGTTTTGAAGCAGTGATGAAGATGATTGCTGAGGGTAGGACAGTGTATGTTGTACGCATTGACTTTACTAAAGGATTTGACAAGATCCTTGATGGTAGACTGGTCCAGAAAATTAAGTCTTATGGGATCCACAGTGAGTTGGTGATCTGAATACAAAACTGTTTTGGTCATAGAAGACAGAGGGTAGTTGTGGAGGGATATTTTTCTGACTGGAGCTGCAACTAGTGGTATTCAGCAAGGATCATTGCTGGGGCCTATGCTGTTTGTAATTTATATAAATGATTTGGATGTAAATGTAGGTGGTCTGATTAATAAGGTTGCAGCAGATGACACGCAAATTGGTAGAGTTATGGATAATGAGGAAGGTTGTCAAAAGAAACTACAGGACATAGATCAGTTGGAAAGTTGGGCAGAGAAATGGCAGATTTAATCTCGCTAAATGTGAGGTGATGCACTTTGCGAGGTCAAGTGTAATAGGAAAGTAAACAGTAAATGCAGGAACCTTAGGAGCATTGATATGCAGAGAGATCTTGAAGTGCAAGTCCATAGCTCCCTAAAAGTGGCAATACAAGTGGATAAGATGGTAAAGAAGGCACATGGCAGGTCAGCCTCCACTGGTTGGTGCATTGAGTATAAAAGTTGGCAAATGATATTGCTGCTGTATAAAACTTTAGTTAGGCCACATTTGGAGTATTGTGGGCAGTTCTGGTTACCACACTAGAGAAAGGATGTGGAAGCTCTGGAGAGGATGCAAAAGAGATTTACCGGCATGTTACCTGGACTGGAGTGTATAGCTATAAGGAGAATTTGGACAAACTTAGATTGTTTTTGCGAGAGCGTTGGATGCTGAGAGGTGACCTGATAGAAGTATGTAAAATTTGAAGATGCACGGATAGGCTTGATAGTTAGACTCTTTTACCCAGGGTCAAAATTTCAAATACTAGTGGGCATAGGTTTAAAGTGAGAGGGATGTAAATCTGAAGGAGATACGTGAGGCAATTTTTTTAAGCAGAGAGGGTTAGGTGCCTGGAACGCTCTGCCAGGGGAGATGGTAGAGACATATATGACAGTAATGTTTAAGAGGCACTTAGGCAGACACATGAACAGGTGGGGAATAAAGGGATAAAGGATCATGTACAGACAGATGAGATTAGTTTAGAATGGCATAATTCAGATCCTCAGACAGCACTTTCCAAAAACCATGACCACTTCCATCAAGAAGGTAAAGGGCAGCAGATACAGGTAGTTCTCCTGTAACGTGATAGTTGCGTTCTTGTGAGACCTTGCGCTATAGAAAATCGCCATAGAAAATCGTGTTAAAGGGAAATCGCTATACCAGTACAGCAGAAAGTTTGCGTTATCCAAACAGCATCCGCTTTTCATCAATTGCATAACAGCCAATTCGCGTTAACAAAACATGCATTACAGCAGTACTACCTGCACATGGGAACACCACACCTTCAAGTACTTCTCCACGCCACTCACCATCCTGACTTAGAAATATATCACCATTCCTTCACTGTCACTGGGTCAAAATCCTGGAAGTCCCTCCCTAAAGGCATTGTGGGTCAACC